TGCTTGAATTGAATTTAATTTAATTGAATTAAATTGAATTAAAACTGCTCTTACGATTGGTATATGTTCTTGGTTTAATTTGGATTTTTCCTTAAATATAAACTTGTTTTGATTCATATAAGTGATGCATAAATACTTCTTAAAATTAGTTGGGACTGTATGGAATTTAGAACAGAGGGTTAGGAACTTTAACAAGGGCAATCGGAAGGTCAGAAAGTAGCTGGAGACGAAGAAGATGGAGACTAGGAGGAGTGGAGGTGGCTACACATAGCAAGGAGCCGGCTCAACTTGAAAGGAGTCGGTTCAACCTGGTATGGAGTCGGCTCAACCTTGAATGGAGTCGGCTCCCCTTTTGCAAATACACAGTAAGTGTTTTTTGATGGTTTTTGGGATTTCAGGGGCTTCAGTGCAGTTTTGAACTTGTATGGATGGTTTTAAATGATTTAATTAAGCATGATAATACTCAAGAATGATTAATCCATACTAGGAACTTGAACATCATGAGATTTAAAATTAAATTTGCATGTTGTTAATGGCTTGGAAGGATTTAAATTACTTGTCGTTATGTTAGCAAATTAAATGGATGGATATAAATTTACTCTTGTAAATTACAGTATCATATACTCAGTAAATGTCTGATTTTTCTTATTATACTCTTCTCTGGATTTTAATTGATGAACTGCTTTACCTATTTTATCAATTATTGGATTTGTTTTATGGATTGTACGTACCGATATGTGACGGTGGCATACTAGGGACGGATTAGTTTAAAACACTAAGTCCTACCTATTCTGGAATAAGGGAATGGATTATAAAATTAAATCCTACTTATATTTAAGTCAGATCAACTGAACAAGTTGAATGACTAACTGGATTATCTGCTACATATACTTATGTCGTGTCAAGGCAACAAACAGTTGAGCGGCACTATCTTGGTCTTGGAATGGATTTTAAATATATATATTTATGGTACCACGATATAAGCTTGAGTCTTAGGATCGATGGTTAGGGAGCGTATATGCAGTGGGATGTATAGCTAGCTATGATGGTGGAGGTGTACCCTATTAGGCTTAGGTACACATGCCCACTTCGGGTGCGTTTTGCATGTTACTTCTATTCAGATTAAGACCCCCTTTGTAGTCCAGTGAGAGTCCTTTAGTGTGGTTATATATATATATAGTTATGGACTATATAGTTATTGCTAAGTTATCTAAAATGTATCTGCATATCGAGTCTTTGCTCGAATGGTAGTGTAGTAGAACTTGTCTGTGGACATGACCCACCATCATTTTTCAGGTATTCATCAGAAGTAGGGATTGTTCGTGCTGAGCAGGGATCGTCTGTTTCACTCTTCCGGATTGTCTACATAGGAATTTCCTTTGGGATTTCTGTATCTAGTTGTAGAGCATTGATTGATCAGTTTTGGTTTTCCAGGGGTCCACAATAGGGATTCCTGAGTTGTAATTTAAATTGGAGGATTACTTGTAACAGAGGATTTTATTAATGGAAATTTATTGTGAGGTTTTATTTATCGTTTTAGTTTCTGATCAGCATTTTGGTTATTTTTATTTTCATTTGTTGTATTTTGTGTTCGATTATTACCATTTGTTTTTTATATCCTTGGGTATTCGAGCGTGGGCCTGGCCAACCCGCATTTGAAAATCTGGGGTATCACAATTACTACGTCATTGTGCATTAGGCCCAATTGCAGCCCAAACCCAATTACCAAAATGGGTGTCAACACAATCACAAACCGATTTTTCAACTTTCCTTGTCTAAATCAATCCTTCAACACCCAGATATATTGTAATTAGTTCACCTTTACTTTTCTAAACACCCCGATTGGAATCATAAACAGATACATACTTAATATATACAAAAACACACGCACCCAATTCCTTAATTCAATTACATGATTTTTATTGTTGTAGTATATATTAATATATATATATATATATATATATACACACACACATATATTTATCTGTGTGTTCATTCTCTCTTAATATGAGCTGTGGAGTGGTGGTGGCCTGGAATGGTGGGTGTGAAGGTTAAAAATGTAATTATATTATTTATATAGGGTAACTAATACGTCAAAGGGTAATAAAGTCATTTCATTATGGATAGAAAATCAAATTAAAAAAATCAAGATGAAGTAAGACAGAGACTAAATTGAATAACAATACATTCTTCTCCCGCCACGAGTTATGCAGTTCAAGAGAGCAAGTAAATATCATTTCCGGTTACCAAGGAACATAGGGACTCTGGATAGCCACATATATATATATATATATATATATATATATTTTAGAGTTAATTACAATAACACCTTTGAGGTTGGCCATAATAACAAGGTTTGAGATTGCAGAATATACTAAAATCTAAAAAGTTTTAAAATCATAATATATTATCTTTTTATTTTCTATCCTCCCTTCATCTTCCTTTCCATTGTTTGTTTTCACATAGTCCTCAAAAACTTGAGTATGAAGAAATCAACGGAAGAAAAAATGCAAAAGTAAAATCAATCGAAAGCATAAAACAGTGGTGAGTTAGGCGAAGCGAAAACAGAATTACAGAGTAAGGCGAAGACAAGAGAGACGGTTATGGAGAAGAGGCGGTGATATATATATATATATATATATATATATATATATAGAAAATCTCAAAGTTCTTTCAAATGGAAGCAGAAAACAGAGTGAAGAAAATAGGCAGTAACAGAAGAGAACAGAGGGCGGTGTTAAAATGGAACCTATATAAAGAGAAAGTCTTATAACACTAGTTGGCCAATTTTGGTAGGGTTTGGGCAGAGCCCAATTAATAGCCGGACCCATTTATATATTTATTCAATGATTACGGCTCAGCTAATACAATTGATTTTAATTGGGCCCAGCCCAGCTAAGGAATGTTTCCTTGTCTTGCGTTTTTTTTCTACGTACGAGTGGTAGAAACAATTGGTAAGAGATACATTATGGAAATAAAAAGGGCAATTATGATAATTTTTTATTTTTATTTTTTATTTTTTTTGGGGGCAAGAAACTAACACACACCACTCACACACTCACTTTGCTTATTTAGAGACTCGAACCCTCACTTTGGGAGTATCTACTTTGGGTCACAATGCCCTTGGTGGTAATTATGAGATCAAAAAATTTAGGAACAAAAAATGGTGTATAATAAGGTTTTTTTTTGGTAATTTCATTTTAAAAAAATAAAAAAATGGAGCGTGAATATTAACCCCCATGAGTGTGTGTGTGTGTATATAAAAGTTCAATTGTAACCAAGTGCATTATAACTAGTGTCATAAAATGTATAAAATATATATGGCTATCCAGAGTCCCTATATTCGTTCTTACGTTTTGATTATTACAATTTCTTAAAATTAGCTTTGAGATTGCAGAATATACTAAAATTTAGAGAGTATTAGAATTATAATATATTTAATTTTCTCTCCTCACTTCATCTTCCTTTCCATTATTAGTTTTCATAGAGTCCTCAAAGACCTGAATTTGAAGAAATCAACGGAAGAAAAAAAGGTGCAAAAGTAAAATCAATTGAAAGTAGAAAACAGTGGTGAGTAAGGCGAAGCGCTAAAATTTCACAAGTATATAAATTACTATTAATGCTGACAAAAAAATCTTAAAAAATAAGAGAGTTAGTTTGTATCCAAAGTTTTGAGTATTGAAGTTTGAGTGCTTGTATTAATGTGTGAATATTTGTAGTGGTGTTTTGAGTGTCCAGAGTTTATATTTGTAGTAGGGTTTATGAACTTTAAGTTTGGTATTCTAATAAAAATTCACTATGTTTCCATCATCACTTTTGTTAGCTCTCTACCAAAAAAAAAAAAAAAAAAATCCCCTTGAAGTAACCTATCATCTGATTATTGTATTATGTCAATTTTTTCCTTTATTTGTTAACCCATTTTGTAAATGTGAAAATCTTTTTAAAGTACAGTAAATGACTAATAACAACAACAACAACAATAATAATAATAAATATAAATTGTCACATTGTTTACTTTTTTTTTTGTAAACTTTATGATTATGTTTTAAATATATTAGATGATTATAAAATCATTTGTAATTGATTTAATTAATTAATAAATTTTATTTTTTTTACAATTTAAAGGAAAATATGATAAAAAGAAACAAAATTACTCTTATAATTTGTTTTTGATCCTTCTTAATTTGTTTAACTAAGAAGTTCAGTTCACTTGCATCGCGCGTACTTTTTCTAGTGTGTGTTTGATTCTTAAAATTGCTCCTTAACTTTGTTATGAAATACAGATTCACAATTTATTTTAAAGTATAGTAATTTTTTTTCTTTTTATTATCAATCAAAAAAATTGTTCATATTATTTGTAAGTTTTTTAAAATGCTGCACAAAAAAAAAAAAAAAAAAAAAAAAAAAAAAAAAAAAAAAAAAATTATAGCTTCAGATTTCCCAAAAAAATAAATAATATAGACGATGCCAATAATATTTTGAATCAGCTAAAAATAACTTTAAAACATCAGTACGTCAATTGTTCTTTTTCTTTTAATTATTATTATTTTTTCATTCATTTTGAAATCTAGTCCCACAAGTACCATTAAAAAGCCAGACCAAATCAAATATTTTTTCACCTATGTACATAACATCAGAGCGTCATGGTTTCAATCTTTTCACATACCAATGAGACAAACAGGGTGAGCAGATTGACAAATTCTTATTTTCACCTTCCTTTTTGCATTGCAGTATTCAATCTCACAATTGCATTTTCCATATCTATATCATATAACTGAGCTGAATAAATAGAACACAGCCAAAACCATCTCAACAACTACAAGGATTTACGATCACCATCGTCTATTTTACACAGGCAAGAAAAATGCCCGCGTAGAACCTGATATCAGTGATCAGCAGTTCACGAATACACGATTCGTGCATTAGTTAGAGATTCTGCTTATGCCTGTCTTGTGCAAATTTTCCTTATTGGATTAGTTTGGATTAACTCATTGCAAGCATTTTTGAAACAGGAACGACGCAATTTAGATTAAAAGTTCAATGCAGTTACATTATACCATAACTTATAGCACTTCAACACGACATAGAAATGATTTGTTACTCAAGTTTGAACAACTTCACAGCAGATGAAATTGATCTCGAAACTGTCAGCAGCAGTTCATCTTAGTTGCCACCATTTTCCTCCGGAACTCCAGTCATAGCTTGCTGCAACAAGTGAAAAGCATGAATGTGATTTCTACGTTTGGGGGGAGAGGGCGTTATTCTAGAGATTGGATTATTTATTACCTGAATACACGACAAGGTATACTGCACGTCACTTCCGGAAATTTGATGGTGAATGACAAGCCTAATTCTGCGATCATACAATACCCAATATCAAACTTGAGTAAATAAAATGTTCGGCGTATGAATATTAAGGTTGTACAATAAAAAGAAAATGTGTCGCAAGGTATTAAAAACACGAAGATGTTGCATCAATCGAAGTGTATATTGCTATTAAAAATTCAAATTTTTCGACAGTGCCATCTTCCAAATAAAAGACTCAACTTTTAGAACTCAAGGCTTGAAGTATCTATCATTCACACATTCAGGGGAAACCAAACATGAATAACGGTACATATGTAGAATTACAGTTTTTGAGCTGATCATGTGTAATCACATTAATCTATTTATGCAGCTATTATAGGAACCCAAACAAAGAAAATGATATCGTTAACACTCTCGACTTTTGGTTTCATGTTTATGGTTTTCAAGGAAAAGAAGAAAATGACCTACAGTTATATAATGATTACAATCTAGTTGAGCATATCAGGCTCCTAAACTAATAATTCTTATTCACTCGGTAAATTTCTCAGGCACAATTTTTTGGTGCCAAAAATTGCATCTCAGTTACCCTTCTTAATTCCCGATTTTCTCCTTATTAAACCACTATCTTCTATCATACCATACTAAACAAAAGTGCCCAGAAATAATTAAGAAAAAGAATTTGATGATTGGATTTTTTTTTTTAAAACATGTAAACAACATATTTCATCAGAAAATTCTTTTTAAATGTCAACAAAATTTACTGACGCTATCAGATTTTTATGCTTGCTGTGGTTATGGGTGTGCTGTAGAAAAAAAAAAAAAAAAAAAAAAAAAAAAAAAAAAAAAAAAAAAGAACCTTTCACTGTGTCGTAGTTTATGGATTGGCCAAGGTTATGGCTCTAAGTAGGAAATAATACTCAGGAATGTGCAAATTTAGTTTGTACGGCTTATTCAGACTAAATTACCAAAGAGATAATAAGTTCATACAGACTTCACAACATATTATACCTGCATTAAAAGTTCAGAACATATTATATTGCTATTTTCAAGGAAAAAAAAGTTGTGTTAACAAGATGCTCAACATTGAATTGGTTTTAGTAACCTAGACAACATATATATATATATATATATATATATATATTTCGTCTGAATAACTGTACAACATATTCAAAACAAAAAGGAAAAATTAATCTTTTTCCTGCCAAATATTTGGCTAATTGAGGAATTCAAAGAATTTGATTTTGGGCTGGTAAAATTTGCAAAAGAGTTCTGCTCTGCAAACCGTAATTGCTATCATCAGATGCAATGGTGTAGAAACAGGAAAGTTCTTCTATTTTTCGAGTTAGTTTGCAATTTGATTATAATGAAAAAATGTGAGTTCATGTCTACCTATTTAGCTTTTTGCAATCAAGAATAAGAAAGATTATATAAAGATGAATACATAGACAAACTCTTACAATGTTTGGAAATTACTGAATTATTTGTAGAAAAACTGTTTTGATGTTTGGAAATTACTTAATTATCAGCATTTCGCAATAACTAAAGATGGAACGAACTGGGCATGGTCACCTATTTCAAGTTGAATTTGTACTCAAACTACAAGCTGCATTCCTAACTATGAACATGAAAGAATAGGACTTGATATATGCAGTTTTATTTTATTTCATTTTTATAACAAATGATGTCTAGACTCTCATACAGAAAATGATGGTTTAAGGACAGAAATAAACCTGGTTGAACTGTCTGGCATCACAAGTATGCCACGATCTTCCAAATGTTTGCATAATTTTGGTGCTGTGATATTTGAGCTCTCTAATATATCAAAATATACCTGGTCACAAAGAAAAGAAACTGAAACGTTATAGTTGTTTATGTTTTAAGAATGTACCATCAATATGTGCACCCAGAGAGTTCAACGTTGACACAACAACATGCTCGATCAAATAGATATAATAGATCGATACAATTTTAAACAGATTCAATCAGAATAAAAATCCTTACATATGCACACTTCGTGGGCAGACTGCAGACAGTCACCCATGCAGGTGCAATTAAAATGGCTAGATAACTCACAAAAAGAGATCTTTCTTTGGGAAATGGGGGTAGGGTGTGATGCAGAGGTTGGATGTTCAAGCCCCTGGACTGCATCATGTTGCAAGAGAGATCGACTAGCAGCTAGGTGGAAGGACCCTGATTGGATAATTCCAAATAATCCAATATGGAATGCAGCATGAGTACCAAGAGAGTTGGCCTCCCCCTTAGTCATTAAACCTAACTCTCTGAAATAGATATAGTCACAAGACAAACCCAAACCATTCTCGGGATTGAATTGACCTACTGCCTACTGGCCTTCTCTGGATTACTGGACATTATCTACACGAATCTGACTACAGGGTTTACGATAGACTTCTTCAGACTCCAGATTTCCATCCATATTAAGAACACAATGTTTTGGAATTGTTTGACCCATCAAATAATTCTCCAGACCATTTGCACCGCTAGAATATCCCGAGGAAACTAGAACTTTTTTCTAAATTTCAGATTAATTAGTTCTGGATTTCTTTTTCAACCAACTAGTATTTTCTCTAAGTTTCTACAGTGGTCCAAAGACTCCTATAATATCCTCACAAGTATGGGTGTCATTTACTTAGTGTACTAAATTTTTCTTTACTAACTGTTATGTAAATCCCAACCGTTCTATCAAATTTATAGTTCCAACCGTTCTTGCCCAACTCTTAACTATTTTCTAAAAGGCGTTCTGGTGGTTTCAAGCAAGAGAATAATTGCAATTAGTTTTATAAAGTTCTAGAAGGAAAAACAAATCCACATATGTCAATTATAAAACATGTTTTAAGCAAAAAATTCTAAGCAAATGCTGGAGCAGCAACATATTTCAACTAACTATTATAGTTTATTCAATCTAACAATTCAAGCATAGTTCAAACATCCAAAAGTTATATTCCCAAATTAAGGTTAGTTTAGTTCCGATGCTTATGGCTAAACCATGATTTTGTTCATCTTCTTACTACAACTAAGCTAATGCACAAGCCTTCTCCACACCATGCAAGGTTCTCCACCTTGCTTAACTTGGCATCTGTAATAAAAATCAGTATAACAATTTCACAAAACATGCGGCTCATTCAAAATCATTTTTAGGTGGCAACCCGATCCCATGCATGTGAGCTGAAAACTAAAAGCAACCCGTTCCCCCGGGGGTATGCCTCTTAAGAACCCCATGTGGTGGTTGTGCATCTTGCAATGTTGCAACAACAAGTGCTCGGCTGTTCAAGGTTCCACTATTATTTTTGGACTTCCGTCATCATAAAATCAATTCATATCCACATGTAACTGGGCTAGATTTTTGCACGAATTTAAAAATGCAGCCAAATTCTGATATCTTAAATTCCACCAATAAGGCTACTTACAATGTTGGTCTCCACAGAATCAACATCCACTTGCAGTCCTTTGATACTATTCAGTCCCTCTGAAATTCAAAATTAAAAAAAAAAAATTTGAAAAACCATCATGGATATATACGTATAAGAAACAAATTTTGCATTTTTTTAGAGCATGTAGCCATTGAGAATGAGTCAATTAGCAAAGTTTGAGAAAAGAAAGCAATAACAATTCCTTCCAGAATAAAAAAGAAATTTATATTCCGAACATCCTTTTGAGTAAAACATTACCTGCTAATGTCTTGGTTTTCTTGTGATCACCCTCAAGCTTTGGAACATTCTCTTGCAATGCAACCAAAGCAGCAGCACACAGGATACCGACCTGTCTCATCCCGCCACCTAAGGTCTTCCTGAGAATCTTTGCCTACAAAACACAAGTCAAATAATCTAGGTACCAAGTTTGTGCGGGTAGAAGGAAGAGTTCTAACGTGTTGCAAAATTCAGTCATACCCTGGCAATAAAGCGTTTTGAACCAACAATGACAGATCCAACTGGAGCACCCAGACCTTTTGATAGACATATCTGATCACACATTTATAAATTAGAAACTACAAAAAGGACAAAAAAAAAAAAAAACAGAGATCTCATGGAAGAGACTAATGTAACATAATGTGATCATAAGAATCTTTAGATGGGACGAAGTGTGTGGTTTAATTTTCTTAACTGTCTTTTTTTTAACAAAGCTGTACATTTGTATCAAATATGGAATGATTGTTCAAATTGTGAACTTTATGAGGAAACGAAAAATACACCCAGGAACTAAGAAGAACAAAGATAACTAGAACTCCAGTCAATATGTAATCTTTACCGAAACTGAATCAGCAGCCTGTACGATCCTATGAACAGGAACTCCAATTGCCTGGAAGACAATTTTTCATGCAGTCAGTAACTCATACAGTTCATACGTTAATGAATTCTAAAACAATAGGATTTGAAACTAAAAAAAAAAAAAAAAAAAGGGACTAAATACTGAGTATGACTACCTGCAAGATCTCAAAAAATTAATGAGGCACTTGGACACAAGAATTGAACACGTAAAACAGTCATTCATAATATTGTTAAAATGATAATCCAATATAGACATGAACTTGTTCATAAAATCTAAAATGACCTTGGAGCGAGAAATTGTTAAAAAGTAAAATATAAATTAAAATAAGATGAAATTGTCTGCATGTTTGTTTAAAATCTCCCATATTCACGCAACTTTTTAAATGTAAGTAATACTTTAGGGGAGTGTGTGAACATTTAGTGAAATTTGAGTAGCACCATTATGTCTTCCAAAGCATTTTGTTGTGTCCCTGACGGATTTCAGCCTTCATGTGAGATATTAAAAATTAAAAAAAAAAAAAAGAGCCATTTAACAATTTTCCGAATGTACTGGTTGGTGCAATTGGTAAAAGACGGAGCAATCAAACATTAAGAGATGTTTCCACATTAGGCAGCCACTTCATGCAAATAAAGATAGAGGTTAGGTTTGTATTTAGTCCGCACCTACCAGCACCAAGATTAAAGGGTCCAAAATTAGCTAATGGCTAGCTCTAAAAGCTCATTAGAGAAGACTGAATTTTAAACATGCCATAAATCATATAAACTACAGCAATCGTTATCATGTTTAACTATAAGTTCAATACCGCGCCAGTCTTATTTTCTAATCATTGACATCTTTTTAAGAACTCTATAGAGTAACACAAAACTAATTGATTGAAAAACTTTTACTCACAATTGATGCATTGAAAATACGGGCTCCATCAATATGAAGCTTCAGCCCATGCTTCTTTGCAAGATCTCCAACTTTGTCTATATACTCTACAGGAAGGCATTTACCACCGCAACTGCATTTAACAAGATACTAGTAAGAAATAGATATAGTGATAAAAGAAAAAAATCAAGCTATCAATTACATAAAAGATTATATCAAAAGGAAAAGATTTTCCAAATTGCATACTTAAATCATTGAAACACAAGCCAGTTGATGAAGGATAGAAATAGAATACTTTTTTAAATAAGATGCGGAAATACAATGCGTAAGCTGGATTAAGAACTCGAATTGCAGGGTAGTTATAGCACGCCTTTCACGTCCATGGTTATGGTATGTCCATGTGAAAGGGCTTAGCTCCTGAAAATACTACTTAAGAGTACAAAACACATTTCTCATACTACAAAAAGCCTTTGGGAGAATTGCCAATTGAAGTCGGTGATAAGAGAAAGTTGGCCCTAGAAGTACTTGACAGTAGGCATAAAGAAAAATTGGAAAAGATATATTTCCTCCGTAAACAAAGCCAAAGCTACCTCATCGTCTTGCTCCAAGAAATAACCGGCCAACAAGTGTATGCAAACTAAGTAAACACTAAACAATATTTGTGAACACGAAGTAAAAACCCGCTAATAGAATTGGAAAAATTAATTATGTACCACAAAGTTTAAAAGGATATGCAGTCCCTTAAAAGAAGCCAATGCTAATAAAAATATTTAATTACGGAAAAGAAATGACAATAAGAATATTCCAGCACAAGTTTAATACTTACTTGGCATGAGTATTCTCCAAGCATATAAGCCTAGTTGTCGGATAACAAATTTCGAACCTAGGGTCTCTAATGGCAGCTTCAATCAAACCGATGTCCATCGTTCCATCTTTGTTATTCTTCACCGTCCTCGGATGTACACCTCCAATTGTTGATATGCCACCATTTTCATAAATATGGATGTGGGAATTGTCTCCGAGAATGATTTCGCTGCCCCTAACCTCACAATGAACAAGCACACTAATGAGGTTACCCATAGTGCCGGAAGGAACAAATAAGCCTGCTTCCTTGCCCGCAATCCTTGCCATCTCTGTCTCGAGTCTCAGGGCCGTGGGATCATTACCCAATACATCATCATCAACATCAGCATTAGCCATTGCAGCCCTCATTGCTTCAGTTGGTTTGGTGACGGTGTCAGATCGGAGATCCACGGTTTTGGTCACCATTTTTGCTGAAACTAAACCAAGGAATACATCAATAAATAAAATAAAACAATTAAAATAAATGAGAAATTTCCACTGTATCTCCTGGTAAAAGAATGATGAACCTAAATTCTAAATTTTAAAATAAAAATAAATATGAGTAAAAGCTTACAATTTTGTCTTTCTGCAACCATGTTTGCAACAAATCCACCGGAAACTAATAGTTAATAGGAAAAAAAAGTTAAAAAAAGCTTACAATTATGTCTTTCTGCAATCATGTTTGCAACAAATACACCGGAAACTATTAGTTAAAAGAAAAAAAAAAATTTAAAAATTAAAATTCAGGTTGAAATCCTCAGAGGTGAAAGAGGGGAAAGATGTATATAAAATACAAAAATCATTATGTATTCACTCCACTGTAGAGTTTATAAGTTTTTTAGTGTTAAAAGTTCAAAGTTTTGAATAAATGTTGTATATTTAAAATAATTAAAATATGTAGGTTTTATCAGAAAATAATTTCAACCAGTTTGATCCTCAATTCATGCAAACTAATCCTATTCACTAGTTTTGAAGAGTTGTTTTAGTCAAAATTATACGTCCTCCGAGGGTATAACCAGTAATTTTCTCAACTCAGTCATTGTATAAAGAATCAAACCACCACAATTCAACCTGAACTATTCTTGAGGAAATTTATATGATCACAGTCAAAAACAACTTCACACGCACAAACACACACAGAGGAACGTACCTTCTGAAAGTGTTCTTCTCTGAATTCGTGAAACCCTTCAACAGAAACGACACAATTTCACTCTAACTGTTACACAAATAAATAAATAAATATAAAAATCTCAGCAAAAATGGAAGAACTTCAACACATGCAAAACCCCATAAAAAAAAACAAAAAAAAAAAAAAAAAAAAAAAAACCCTTTTAATTGTAAAGCTTTTTAAATGAACTCTTATCATCAACTAAATCAGTTACATGAAAAAAAATATCCAGACTGCATCAAACCCAAATTTTGCCTAACTCAAATAATTTCTGGGTTCAACTCAAACTGCATTTTAAATCAAGTGAATCAAAAGATAATCATTCAAGAAATCAAAAACCAAACCCACCACAACTTTTTTTGAAAAGCCTAACTGACACAATTTTGGATTGATTTGTCTGTCACGTAATGACCATAACTTGGAAAAGTTGATCCCCACGTTTCACAAGAAAAGCCCAGCAAAGATACTAGTGGCATCTTACAAATGGAACACACACACACATATATACATGCAAGACAAGTTGTGGTTGATAAAAAGCCAAAACCCCCGACCTTAAAGTTTTCATTAATTATTTATTTTAAACTTTTTTTTTTTAGGTAAAATATTTATTTTAAACTTTGATCAAGGACAATCATTCAAACCATTAAAAAAATAAATAAATAAAAAATAAAATAAATAAATAAACAACCTCAATTTATTCCTACCTTAATCACCTCTAAAATCACACTTAGTCCACACAATTACAGACTAGGGCAGAAATTCTTGTCTCCGAAGAATTTTTGTTTTCTGCATTGTGTATGTATGTATGTATAGGTATATATATGTGTGGGCGTGTGCGTGCTGAGGCCTTATGGAAGGAAGATTCCCGGTGAATTTCAGTGGCTGCTTGAAGTTGGAAGAAGAGAAGTTGATTTTGGCTTTGAGATTAATTAAAAAAAGAAATGAAGTGGGTTGCTAAACTTTCCTGAGGGGCTCCACGTCAGAATTTTGGTTCCAGCTATAGTGGGTCCTACTGTTGGAAAGTGAGAAGAAATTGGTTCATACTCATACACGTCACCACCACCACATCCTCATGTAGTGAATCTAATCACTTGCATCACTCATGTCCCCACCACATCATCATGTAGTGAATCCAGTCATATAAAAGATCAACGTACATGCAGTCTCCTTAAAGATAACTTAAACAATTGCCACTTTTCTTGAATTTTCAAAAAGATATTGATTATCATGCCTTAAAATCTGAATGCAAAGTTTGGTCGGAGGGAAGGAGAGAGAGGGGGGAAATAAAAAGAGATGATGTATTCTTCATTATTTTTTTATTATTTTTTTTTTATATTTTTTTATTCGCCCAATTTTCAGGAGAAGGTAAAGAGAGAAAATTAATAACTTATGGTCAAAAAGGTTGCGCTATTAGTAACAAATATTGCACAATAATTTTTGAAAAAAAATTAAGGCTGCACAGTTTTTGAAAAAAATTCCACAACTATAACGTAAGGTTACATGATTGCTTGAAAAGTTAGCACAAAATAAAAAATGTAAAGTTGTACAGTTTCTAACAAAGATTGCACAACAATAATAAATGGTTGCACAATTTTTAAAAACAATTGTACAACTTTAACATACGGTTGCACAATTTTTTGAAAATGTTGCACAACAATAATGAAAGGTCCGTCTTTTTCTTTAAAACTTACTCTCTTTTTTTTTTTAATTAATTAATTAATTTATTTTTTTACATTACAAAGAAACTATCGCACACCACTTTGTTTCTTTGGAGACTTAAACACTCATCATCCACTTTGGAAAGTGGAGGAGATACGAGTTGGTAACAAGGCCCTTGGTAGCTACCTACGAATATATAATTTTCAAATTTTAACCTTTTTAAAAAAAATTAAATATATATCCACCTTTTATAATTTTATATGGTGACAATATATTGATAAAAAAATATAAAAACTCTTTTTTCTTAACTTTAATTAATATATATATATATATATATATATATATATCTCAGGGACCTTGATTATTCTTTCTACCATCCATTTTATCCATCCCCACTCCTCTACTCTCTTCTGTGCATTTTTCCATCCAAATAAAGCATAACATTTATTAATTGGATGAAGTTAGATGAAGATAATAAGTTTAAATGCTTACACTTATCCATTTCATTTAAGTGATACAACATGTCAACAACTTCTAGTTTTAGGCTTTTAGAATCATTATGAAGAATTGAATATGATAATGTCATGGTTAAAAATAACATAAAATGACTGAAATTGAAATTTCTGTTACATAAAATTGAAATTTCAGTTACAACGATAAATGACTAAAGACCCCTTTTTACATAAAATAATTGGATCAAAGTGTCTTTTAATTTATCTTTACAAAATCCTCACCATAAAATGATAAGTGTATAGAATGTGGATTCGAATTCTCCCTGCACAAGTCTACGACTTAAATCCCACTCTTGTCATGAGATTGGTATTGATGGAAGTCCTTCAATTGGAAGGCCTTTTTTTAAATAAAAAAAACTAACGCATAATTCCAAAATCTCCATGCATCAAGGAAATCAAAGCCATTGATAGACCTAATTTTTTCCCAAATTGTACGTCACAAAATGACATGAAAATATTTTTTCACTCTAACTATGCTATCTACGTTTATGTCAAAAATTTTATTCCTTTGATGTAGTGAATAACATCATTTATCAATACGGAAAATTGCAATACTCTATCTTGGCATAATTAAAATGAAATATATTGCAATGTAAATTAAGAAATGATGTATCATATGTGTGAATTTTGTATTCATATAATCATAGGAAAGAAGATCTCCATTTTTTCTTTACATGAACAGCCACGTAGATTCGGCTAAAGGAAATTAGGCTTATGTATAATTTTCCATAAAATAGATTGATTTTCTATCTCTGACTCCAACATCTAATAAATGAAAAAGAAAAAGAAAATAAAATAAATAAATAAGCAAGACATTACAGAGAGGAGAAATTAGTAGTTCAGACTCATAAATCAAAATATGCCAAGTAGATTTTAAATCAAGATCCTTACATGCATTTAAAGAATTCTGTTTTTAATAACAAAAACAAAAAGGCACTTGTGCTTAACTTTTAGATTGCAAAATGAAGATAAATTGTCTAACAGAACATATACACACGTATATCTGTGTAGGGGAGAGAGATAACGGGATGTTGGGTTGGAGAGAATAAAATTCAAAGGGTAACTTGGTAGTTTAAAAAGAGATAGACTTTACAAAGTTAGAAATCCAAAAATGGACAAATGATTTGAAACCACATAATTATTAAGATAGAAAATTTGTCTCACATTCGGTAAAAAAACGTAATTAAAATAGGATGTAGTTGTCTCACTTAACGGGTGAAGCTTACAACTATGTGAGATATTTGACTAGTCGATTGGTTGTCGTTTCTCGAACATTGCTGAATTAAATAGGGTAAGATTTGAGTGTCAAATAATAAATGAGCAAAGGGGTGTAAAATTGTTGATTTACACTTGAACTTGGACCATGAGTTTACAATTTGAGGATGGAGCTTATGTTATACTTGTTGTACAATAAGCATTGGGGTTCTTGCATATAAGTAAGATCATGCCTTTTCAAGATTTTAGTTGTGTTTCGCGGCATGGAATTGAAACAGTGGTTCGAGGCATTTTCTTTGTCCCCTTAAAATTGAAGGAAACTTAGGAAACTTTAGTTTAGATTTATAGAAAAAATGAATTAAAATTTTCTTCAATTCCACAAATTCTAATTTTAAAACTTCAATTCCATGCTGTTGAAAATAAAATGTAATCAAACTCATGTTTAAATACACAATAAATGACAATTAATAGGGAAAACTATGTCTACGTAAAGTTAGGGCACCCGTTTGACAAACAAAGATGTATAATCGAAGAAAGCAACAAGTAACTACTACAGTCATATGTGAAGATTCACTGTTCATCTAGTGATAATGACTAAATTGTCACAAACTGATGCAAGGTAACATATTTAGTTCATATTTGCACCACTTTTCATATGTTCTATCATCATCACCATCTTCTTATTTTTATAAGAATGGAGTCGGCACATAAATTCTCTCTTTTCATTCTTTTTCATTGCTCGCCATATCATTATTTAAAATTAAAACTCATAGTAGATTTTAAATCAAGATCCTTACATGCATTTAAAGAATTCTGTTTTTAATAACAAAAATAAAAGACACTCGTGCTTAACTTTAATTATATTGCAAACAAAGATAAATTGTCAAACAGAACATATACACATGTGTATCTGTATAGAGGGGGGGAGAGAGAGAATGGGATGCGTGGTGGAGAGAATAAACCTCAAAGGGTAACTTAGTAATTTTAAAAAAGCCTTTAAAGAGTTAGAAATCCAAAATTGAACACATGATTTGAAACCATCAGAGTTATTAAGATCAAAAAAATTAAAAATTGACTACAATTGTTTTACATAACTTTTTAGGAAAAGATTAATTAAGATAGGAGGTCGGATGTGTCACGTAATTTGTGAAGCTTACAATTATTTGAGACATTTGATTAGTCGTTTGTCATCTCTCGGCATTGCTCAATCAGATACGATGAGACTTGAGTAGGAGTGACCACGGATTGGATCGAATTTAGCATCAATCCTAATTCGATTCGGTCCCAACGGATTGAAATTTTTTGAATCCGCCATCAATCCATTATCTGACTGCAGATTGGATCCGCGAATTGGAATTTTTCCTTAATATTCTATATTATTTATTTTTTAATCATAACCCAATAGATAAAATTTCAATTTATCAATATTAATTCATATATTTAAATTTCAATTTATCATCATTAATTCATATATTTAAATGATCATTAATTAATACATTCTTAGAGTCGATCATCAACTAATTAAATTAACTATTACATTATTTGAATATATATATATATATATATAAATCTCACGAATCAGATCGAATTTTTAACAGTTCAATTCGTGATCTGATCCATGAATCACGGATTTGATTTTTTTTAATCCACTACTGATTCGTGGGTGTAGCAATCCGATCTGATCCACAAGGATTAGACCGAATCGGATCGAATTCGCGGATTCACGGATTATTTGCCCACCCCTAGACTTGAGTGTCAAATAATAAATGAACAAAAAAACTATTATTAGAAAATTGAACCAAATTGACTCTCTTAAAATTTTGACAACATCTACATTTAGAGTGTGTTCGGCTGCATAAATTGGAACTTTAGAATTGAAATTAGTATAATTTGAGAAAAATAATTAAAAAAATTGAACCAAATTTTTTTCAAATTTTATGAATTCTAATTTTAAAACTCCAATTTCATACAGCTTGAATACATTCTTAATAAATTATTGAGACAGTTGCCTTTTTTGTTTTAACCGTAAATCAAACATTCGAATCTATTATATTCAACTGGATTTTTTTCTTTCTTCCTTCTTGGTGGTAAAGAAGAGGAAATTACATTGGGATTGAGTTTTTACTCTCATGGCCCCCTTGAAAGCATGGAAAAATAACAATATTCACTTATGGTCAAAGAAAATTATTTGAAAGCAGATATAATGTTTATGATTGTTGTGAAAGTCATTTATACGTGGCGTCCATCATTAATTAATTTTATGTGCTTATGGATGTCAGAAGAAGAAAAATATGATTGTGCGTATAGGCGTGAAAAGTGAATAAGAAGAGAGGGAAAATAAAAGTAAAGCGAGAGTAAAAATCTGTCTACAAATATATATGAATTGTGTTGAGTTTAGGATATAAAAAATATAGAGAAGAAATAAATAATAGAAAGCTCATTTCTCTCTTCGTTTCTTCTCATTTTCCGTGTTTTTTATTTCTTGTTCTATATTTTTACTTT